AACCGTTCGACTCGTTCGTTCGTTCGTTCGTTCGTTCCTCGAGCCCAGAGAGACCGACCGACCGACCGACCGCTGGTACTCGAGACGTGGCACTGGAATTCCTTGCCGTGGAACGTACCGCACGACAAACGTTGACGAAGTCGACGCGCGTATCCGGAACCCCGCCGTAACACGGCCAGGTAGCTGTAGGCCGTACGACAAGGACGGAGAGAGAACTCGCGAGACGAGGGGGAGAGAAACGTCGGACGGAGAAAGACGGGAAGGTGGACCGAGAAGGATGAATGGGCCGAGGAAAGAGGAGCAGCGGGAGCGGATAAGCAACGCGGAGAGAACGCAGGGAGGGACCCCGGACGAAGTGGAGGAACGAGCCGTCGCGCGAAGGGAGAACGAGACGAGAGAGAAAGATAGAGAGGGACCAACGAGTGGGAGTAGGACAAACAGAGGAGAAGAAGAAGAAGAAGGGAGAATAGAGAGAGAGAAGGGGAGAGAGAAGGAGAGCGAGCGAGCGGCTTGCGAGTTGGAGAAGACGCGATTTGCCGCTCCGTCGTGTAGAGCACGTCGCCTCGACACAGACTGCAGCGGCCTGGACAACTGCCGCCCACCCAGGCTGCCTGCCTCTCTACCTCGGGCCTCGAGGTTCCAGAACCTACTCCTCGCAAAACCCCCCGCCATTGCGGTTCCGTTCATCCTTCACTTTCTCCGTTCGTTGAACAGAGAAATCGACGTGGCGAGGGTCGGGGTGAAACCGGCCGAAAGGTAGACCGGGGACCGAGGGACGGGGGTTAGAGAAAGACCGGGCAAGGCCTCTGTCTTTTTGACAAAGCACCCCGCCGTAGCATAGCTGCCGTTACAAACAGGTTCGTAGGGCAGGTCACGTAACGACAGGGGCGCGCCGTGAAAATACATACCGCGAATCGTGGATTAAATGCACCGTGTGCCAAACGGGACGACGATTGTTCGCGTTTCACGCCGTTCTGGTATACATTCAACACGTAACTCCTATACCGTTTGCCGTTTCATGGAGAATTATTCCTGTTAGTCGCCTTGAAGTATAGTAGACCGCCAGCCGGACCAGACGGGGATTTAATATTCATTTAACACCTCGGCTCTTTCCAGTGGTTAATTAAGATATCGTGAAAGGCGAGAGATTATTGCGAGTGAAATTTTTATTCAAACAATCCTGGCGCAACAGGTTTATTCATGGCTAATGAATCACTTTTCCTTAGTAAAAACGATTATTCAAAAGTTAAATCGAGGCCTTCGTTGTTATTCGTCATTCGGGCAAAAGTTGCCCAACGTCGCCAAACGGGACAAGGACTGCATTTCGCGGTTTATAAGCGAGAAACGAATACGCGTTCATTCAACGCCGTAGCCCTGTCGTTTTCGCAGGGAATTCTTCGAGTAAACAGAAAGCCGCGAGCAAGAAAACCACGGGGGTCGGTCTCCCTTACCAGCGTGAGAATTCTTGATCTGGCGCCAAGCCAAATGGATCCCATTTTTTCTTCGTCGATCATTCCTAACGTCGCCGATATTCTACCTCTTGTTTATGTACGCAGTGAAACTGAACGGCAAACGGGCCGCCGCTAACAGATGTAGACACTAAATGCGCGAATCCTCCGGATCCCTAATCCTCGCAATTGCGATGCAAATTTATCTTATCAAAAGATGATCTCGCGACTGTAATCATCTGAGGACAAAAGCTGGTTATTACGATAACTACTACAATTGTGATTGTACAATGAATACAATTGTAATCGATAACGATTGAAGAATTAATCAGATAATCACTTATCTTTGGTGAACTTTAGAATGTAACTAACATTGAATAAACTGTTGCACGGTTCAATCGTCGTCCTTGATACACTCAGCTACTCTGCAATTACTAAAAATTATTACTATCCCGATGTGTGATATTCTAAGCAGCTATTAGCTGAAATAATACCTCTACAGAACAAATACCAGAACAACTAGGAGTAACCAAACCGGAAAGAATTCAATTCTGAGGAACCGTTCGGCTCTAAAAGCCCGAGCAGGTATGCGCACCAAAGGTCGAAATAATCTGAATTACAAAAGCCTAAGCCGATTAGTACCCAATACGAACAATATAATGATTATTGCACTTTACAATTTCCACTCTCGTCCCTGCAGGCCGTTGTTCACGGCCTCGTGCAACGCGCCGAGTGTCTCAAATAAGGATATTACATCTTAAATGAATCTGCGAGGTTTTACTAAGCAGCCTGCTGATTTGATATGCAGAGGAGGCGCTATCATAGAGCAGCCACTTGTCCGGTGCTGACTATACTGCCGATGCCCTGTCCCGCAAGAGATATAATTCCCACTGTTCTTCTAACGCTATTTAGCAATGTCTATTACATATTCGATGAGTTCGAAGCAGCGGTTCATCGTTCCCGACTCCGTGGCCTGGATCTCACACGACACCTTCTTCTTTCACGCTTTTATTTTATTTTTTCCTCTTCCTGCCCCCTTGGCAGGTTTACGCGCATTCCTAACTGTACGTAGATCGAAGCGAAGATTACTACGTCCAAATATATATTAAAACGTGGATGCCTCTTAAGAAATTTAGTCTGATCGTAAACGTCGCGCCGGTCCTGTGAAGCCAGGATGGATTCAGTTCGTTCATCCCCAACGTACAATGGATACTTCCGGCAAAGGGGTTGTGCTTCAAGGACGATCCGTGGAGAAGGTAAGTAGAAGGAATTGAATAAATGTAACTTCCTCGGTTCTCGTGCGAAACTCTTTATTTTCACCGAAAAGAATACCTGAAAATAATCCGAACGAACGTACCAGTCTTCAGGTACTTCGGGTACTCCGAGACATCTAGCGAACGGCTTCTGAAGCCTTGATCGTAGCAAGGTGAAGCAGGTATAAACGGGTATATAAGCCTAACAGGTGTGGCCTCCACATTTGTCGAAAATCTGTTTGCCGTTTCGTTACCTACGTTCTGAACTCTGTCTGAATGAACGAAATACTCGATAGACGTTTGACGAAATGTGTGACGAAGTCGCTCGTGGGGGCAAGAACCGTAGGATCAATTACCACCCCCTTTTTCCTAGCCCGGCGGCATCGTTGAAGCGCGGCTCATGCAAATGAAAGGAGCCTGCGCATGGAAGGAAGTAACGAGGAGGAAGCAAAAAGCGCGGAAGAGCAAATAGGAGGAACGAGAAAGAAGACGTTCTCTTCTCCGTTGGGGCATCGAACCGTGACCCGAGCACCTGTTGCCGCCTCCACGCTCCTAGATTAATGCGAACCGACCTGCCGCCTCCGCTCCCCTACTCGACCGCGTAGGCATAGTGAACCAGTGTAACCTCTGTGACGAAGATCCCATGGGCCGTGACCGCTGAAAAGCACGGCCGTGAGTTCATCGACGCGACGACGGCGACGACGACGACAACGACGTGGTTACACTCGGCTGTCTGCCTCTTTGATCATCGTCGTGCGCACAAGTGTCTTCATTCATCGTAGTCAAGCGTTGAACGCTGGTTAAAAACTCGCCTCTTCTCGCCGTGATTCGGCCGCGTTCTCGGAAACCCATAAATTAAACCGACGGGGAGGGATAAACGGCGAGAGTCGAGAGGCAATTGAGAGAATCGGTGCTCGGGTAATATACTTGATAGTGCAACGGTTACTAGAGCATTCACGATAGCGCACCGATAGGTCGTTATAATTAGAAACAATTATGCTCGCGTGCCCGTGATGCGATACTTCGATATCGGCTACTGCATACTACTTTGCCCAGATCACGAGATTCGAGAACGTCGATAGACCCGCGATTTCGAACGATGCTCTGCCTGAAAATGGTACGGAACTGGCTCGCGCGTTGCTTTTGTTAGCGCGAATCAGAGCCTGTAATTTCACGAATCGACTGTCCCACATGGACACGCTCGTTCGTGCGATACTTGTCCTACGCTCATCAGGGGAAACAGCGAAATAGTCAGACTGAACGAGCGCGGAATTCGTCCGAGGATCAAAGCGTCGCGAAAAGCGACTCGTAACGAGGGCTCGCGGGGATCGTTGAAAAAATTCTCACGGTAAGATGATCGGCAATCTGCAATCCGATATTTATCGAATGGTTTCGAGTGTCTATTCCTGGTCGGCACCCCTCGTCGAAGGTCGACTGTACCCGCAAACGAGAATCGTTTCCTGCATCGCAAGAATTTACAACGCGGCTAATTTCTTACGACTAGGCCCTGTATAATCCCGGCAGAAAATACCTGCGCGTCTCGCATTCATTTCGAATTCCATTCAACGCGCTCCAGCGCAAAATGCGGCTATTTTTACTCCTCGTAGCCGGTTCGGAAAAATTCGTGAAATAAACTGCAACATCCAGACGTGCATCGACTACCATACATTTCAGTTCTCACGAGACCCCTACGCGGGCAATCGATACGATCGATAAGGGCTGTTCGGAAGAGGATCAGCAGGGGGTTAATAAGAGAGGAAAAAAGAAATGTTCTCATCTATTCTATAGGTTCGTTTATTGAAGCGGACAAATTGCGAGCCTCGTGGATCGATATCGAGCGAGATGGAAAATGGAAATGAACGACTGATAAATAATCGGAATTGCCATCAATTTGCAACTCATTATACGTTCACATTCTAGTCGATTACGTACGCCGGTGTTGTCGCGGTAGAATCAATGACGAACGTCACCGGAGTAATTCAGAACGATCATGAACGTACTCTATTTTACAATTACCTCGTCGCTTTGACTCGACGTTTCGACTTATTTTTAAAGATTAGAAATCTCTATTTCTTCCTCGTTATCTCTGGGAACCTCCGGTACGTGAAACTTTTACACTCTGAATCGATTAAGCCACGAACAGAGTGCAAACAGTTAACATACTCGAGGATCGTGCTGCGAATGAAAAAGAAAGGCGGAAGCCGAATATGTACACGTTCTCGTACAGTAGAGAATTCAAGTATAGAACGTAACCAGGTTTACGAAAACGGAAACTAGAGAAACGGCATTCGATACTCACCGGCGATCCGTAAAACGGCTCTGTCAGCGGGATCCAGCTGCAGGATACTCAGCGGTTTGTCCTTTACCCATTCCTTGAGACTTCCGTCCAGCTCGAACTCCATTCTCTATGATGAACTGTCGATCGGAACTTCTCCCTTTCTTTTTACACCATATTCGCTTCACTCCTCTTTCAGCACTCGTTTCACAACAGCACTTGCCGATTTCACAACGCGCGACGCGCAGAGCGGTCGCGTACTATTATGTACGACGTCGTCGTCGTCGTCGTCGTCGTCGTGTTCGTTCAATAGCGTCCGCGAGGCAACGGCGAACAGAGTGCACAGCACTAAAGTCGCCCGTGTTATCGACAGCGGGCAGCTGGCGACTTTGCACGCGATATCAAATACGACATCCTCGTTACTGTCCTCCTCCTCCGGCGCGGCGACCTTTTTCTGTCCCTCTCGCCCTTGTCCCGCAAGATGAATGGCTTTTGTTGACAAGAATAGGTTTCAATCATACGGAAAGCACGTGGAACTCGAGCCCCAGCGTGCCGCGCGTTTCAGTTACTGGCACACGACGCTCCTGTTACGTGCAGCTGCGTAGAAATGCGCGAACCGCGCCGGTGTAACGGAAGGAAGGAGGCGACGAACAGCGAAAGCGCGTACGGCGATGAGCCTGGCCGTCCTTTCGACGATGCCCACCGATTACTTAACGATGGGGGAGCGATACGGTTGTTGCCAGCAACGTTGACGTGCGCTTCCTGCACGCCGATAATCAGCTATGCTTCGTATCTTCGTCGTACGCGGCGCCTTAGGTCAGGTTAGATTCAGTTGAAAACACTTGGGTCACGACCCCCGAATCCCCCGTCGTATCTATATGTACCCTCTCTTCTTTTAACTCGAGATTCTTATCTCATTAGCTAAAATATCGTAGTTCCACTGCCCTCGCTGTTATTACTTATACAGGGTTCTCCTCGGAGTAATCTACCAGGGACATAAACAGAAATATTATGTTCCTTTCTGCTTCTGTATATTGCCCATAATAAATCGTACGCGACCGGGTGCTTCAGAATGAAAGAGATACACTGATGTGTTCAGGAAAGAATGGGCACACGATCTTCCATTAATATTTTAGCAATCGAATTGTGACTCACTACAGCGGGGAAAGCGTTTCCTGCCGTATGACTCTTGTTAGAAACGTTCGAAATATCTCGAGATTTGCCTCGACAATCAAGCTCGCGGCGCTTGTGCATTTAACGAGCATTTAACGAGTTTCCTACGTACGTAATTTATGGCTACTTTACGGACGTGTGTATACGTCAATCGTTCGGGCGATAGATCCGGAGAGATCCGATACAAAGAACAGGAAGCGGATGCGGCAGCGTACCAAGTCGAACTGATTCTCAGACGGCGTTGAAAAAAAATTGAAACGTATGCAAATTCTTCGACGTACGCATCACCGTTCTACATACTTTCAAGCGAGACTGCTCGCTGGCTTGCTTACTTAGAAATATGCTATAGCCTTGAAACTTTATCATATACAATGTTGTCTACACGGCGATACTTGTTTCGCTCTGCATGCATGCTCTTCTGATGTTTGGAAATCGAGAGATCCCCGCGCTGCGACTAAATATTTGAACAACTCGGACCCTTCGCGATCCTGTTTATTTGCTTTTTCACACTGGAACGAAAAAAGAAGTACGGACGTCCGTTCTATATATTCGCGACTCAAAAGGCTTCAGTTTACGCGTACGCAGCCACGCTAAGTAATTATTTTTCTCTCTCTCCCCCTTTCTACCATTTATACTGCGAGACAAATTTAGAATTGTCGAAACGCGGGGATCACAATAAGAACTTTTCGTAGGCTGTTTCCGCTGACTAACCAGACACTCGAAAACATCCTCGGTGCCTCGTTTCAAAACACTTGTGCCGAACGAAACAAAGGCACCTGGCTTGCTCACGAGTTAAACCTAACCTAATAGTACGGAGGATGCGATCGTTTTCAAAGAGATGACAGAATTATTTCGAGCTTGCGCGCCGCGTATTAAAGCAACGTTATCATAAAGTTCTTACGGTTTAGACTCGAGACGTGAGCGATAAGACGGTAATCAGAGGTAAAGTGCGTGACATGTGCGAAATACATATTTACGTGGTCGAGTAATCTGATATAATCATCTCGCCAAAAATATATGACAAATCTACGTAATCGTGAGTCATTTCGACTATTATCATAAAATAAATAATCGGTTAACTATATATCGGAACACAGATCGAACGATATCCTATCTGTTTTTAATATATTCGCGCTACTGATAATAGAGACTTACTGAAATCTATGCGATACCGACAAAATTAACAGAGTACAGGGGATGTACATTACCGTTTGATCATCTGTCGAGTAGGATGCGAAAGGTGGAAAAATCAATGTTCACCGGTATTCTCGTCGTCTTCCTTCGTCGATCACGACACAGGCCGATCCGAAGGATATCCTTCTGCGATTTCTGGCACACCTTCCAACGGGAAACACTATGTATCCGCGTGCGGGGACATCGCATTATCACTTATCATAGCAATTTCCGCGTTAGAAATACGACCCGGTTCCTGACGACGCGCCTAGCAGACGACATTTTGCTTTTGACTTGGCGAACGCATTACGAAAATCCTCGACAGTCCCCGAGCTTCGGCGACACGTCTGTCCCGCCTCGCGGTTGGCCGTTCCACCACCCCCAACTTGCGCGCGTATTTCTCAAATATCATCATTTTTATTCTTGTTATAAAGTAAAAGATCGAAATGAGGAAGTTTTGGATCGAAGGTTTTTTGAATCGACATCGAATTTTTTAACAAAAATGAGTTGCGAAAGCGGGAGAGAGGCTCGACATTTCACGTCAGAGTAAAACTCAGAAATCTTTGTAATGTTCATGTGTATTTCAGTTTCGAAATGAGGCCGAAAGCTTCGCCACAACCCTTAATTCGCGTCTATTTCAAATCTCATTACGATAACATTACCGACGGTTCGGCTTACATTCTATAAAAATGCCTGAGACGGCAGGTGTATTTTACGTATGAATGAATCGGACGCTGACATCATACCTATAATAGATGACATCAATTTTTTCACCGTGAGATTAGTAGAACTTCCATTGCCGTCGGCGGTTCAATACGGTAGCGAACAGTAGCCTTCGTGGCCACTTGCTTTGTTTGATGTCACCGCTAAATAAAGCGACTGACACCGTCGGCAAATACGGGAACGGTGTGCCTCGAGTAGCACCTATTCCATAATTAGATGCTTGTTACGAGATTCATCGGAAATCAAAGTACGATCTCCTATCACGCTATTAAACGACGCGACATTGTCCGAATCGAAGATCATCATTTTTTTCGTCTTATTATTACAACTGCACGGATTCGTCATTGTTCTCCGAACGCAACCCCCGATCATCCGAAATATTTTGACTACCATGCTTTTCTTTTTGAAGTCTATCGATAATATTTTCTTTTTCTTTAATCATATCATTTAACTGTTGTATTTTACGTTGGTAGTCGCGTTTCATTCGGCGCACATGGAGCTCTTGTAACTTCATACGTTTTTCCACGGAATCTACCTCCTGTTTAGTACCTTTCCGAACAGTCTGAAATAAAATTATTTTTTACTTGCTATCCAATTAACATCGCAAATATTTGACACATACGTCCAATTGATTTTTCAATGCTTCCACTCGGCTGGTAATACTCTTCCCCATGCGATCCATGCTTGCATTTTCTTTTTCCGTTTCGCGTAAAACAGTGAGTAAGTTTTCTCTCTCCCCGACGATCCTTTCATACTCCGAAAATAATTCTTCGCAATACGCGGTCACTCTGCTTAATTGCTCTTTCAAAGAATTACGTGAAATACGAGTCGAATAAACCATGGATTGCATTTGCTCAACCTTACGTTGCGTATGCCTGAAAAAAATCTATGATTACGTTAGATGCGAATATATAAATGTTACGCATAAAGTGTAAATAAATAAATAAATTACTTCAAGTTTCTTTCCAAGTTGTCCGTAAGATCCTTCAAATGATTCCTTTCAGCCATCACCATTATAAGCTGCTTCTCGTTCTCAGGTTGACTCTCCTCTATGCGTTTTATATGATTACAAAGGTTGCGCTTTTCATTTTCATACTGGTATTTCAAATCGTCTAACAGTGTTTTACATTCTTCGATGGCAGTCGTGTGAACGCTGGCAGGGACTGTTTGTTCTTCTTTACTCTTCATCTTTCCAAATTCTTTGTCTAGAACTTCATATTTTCCGCGGAGATTGCTGAGTTCCGTCACAGTAGCCGAAAGGTCCTTCTTCAACGCTTCATTATGTTTCAAAATTATATCGACCTTTAATTCGCACGATCGACGAACGTCATTAGCTTCTCTCTTCACATCTATAGCTTCCTTTTTCATCGCATCGTTTTGCTTCCTCAGCGACGCGGTATTTTCGATCAATATCTTAATATCCTTCGCGTATCTATCACACTGCACATTTTTTTGTTACAGTTACTAATATAACAAGTATTTTATCTCCATAGATTATAGACTACTTTACCTCGGATTTCAATTCTTGCACTTCTTTATGCATAATCTCGTTTTCTGTAAGAATTTCCTTGCACCTATTACCAAAATCAGCCATTTCCTCTTCGTACATCTGCACAAGTTCCCGTTTCTCTGATAAATTTTCTTGGTAAGCATTCAAAAGTGGGCCCAATGCATGAAAATTGATGCCTGCCCAAATTCTTGCATCATATTTCTCTTCACTGTTCTCTAAGCGCGCAGAAACATCGATTTTCTGTTCCCTTAACTTATCCTGATACCTCTCCAGTTCCGTGTTTAACTGATAAACAACACTCTTCAAAAGTGTTATATCCTGAGTCGACTGAGCCTTCTTGGCTTCAAGCTTTTGGTTTTGCTTAACCAAATTAACTTTCGTTTCTTCCAGCTCTTGGACCATCTGGACCAATGCCTCATAATGCAAACACACTGTCTTATACTCTGATTCTCGTTGCCTCAATACATTACTTAATTTTTCACATTCCTCTTGAATGTTCTTATAACGTTTTTCTAACTTGTTATATTCATTAGCTACTTTCAACTTCTCTTTTGAAATTCTCTTTTCTTTCGTTGTTAGCGAATTAATGCCTGAATTAATAAAATATAATAATTCATCTGCTTAAACATTTATTTAATTTATTATACAGAATAATACCTGAATCTGCATCACCTTCATCAAGAATTTGTTTTTGGTGATTGCCATCTTCATTTAACCTCCTATTTCTTTCACGCTCATGGCTTTTACTCCTGGCTCTTGAAGACATCTCGTCTTCATAATCATTTATACCATCGATCACGTAATCTGATGGATATTTATGTAAATTATGAGTTTTTAATGTGTGCTTCGTTCTCGATATTCGCCTGCGACGATAAACTGGAACACAAGTGGTCTCCTGACTGCTCCTCAGATTTGCTAACTTCCTACAGCTATGCTAGTGTATAAAGAAAAAGGATATGAATAAAATTATTTGAAGAATTTAGATATCGCATTACTTCAATTAATAGAATTAATTACCTTCCTCCTTTCCTGTTCAGTACTATTGTTAAAACTGGCCATGTGTGATCCTTTTACACAGTTTAAAAACGATATAACTTTAGACACGTATTCCGTCAAGATTGATTAATTCCGTGCAACGCACGTATCGGACACCCGTTTAAGGAAAATATGCACGGGCGTGCAAGTGCACGCGTGCATATTTTTATTAATTTACGTATTTGTATCCCGATCATTGCCATGACAACGATGACACCAGATGACACTACCACTCTGGTAAAGAGCCGCAAGAGAAGGGAGGAGATAGGGGATCGCTTAGCGGCCTTGGCAAAGCGCAAGGCGATTGCGCTGAAATTTAAAATTACGCGGAAATTATGCATTTTTCGATTACTATAATTCTCTGTAGAAAAAAGTATGTTACAGAATAGGAATTGAGAGAAGGAACCATGGCTACCACGCAGCTTGAATTTTAACGTTTCAAGAATAACAGAGGAAGACACTTTTCTCTCTGTGAAAGCTACGGCTTGTGCGATACTGCAATCATTAGGTCACTGCATAATGAGAGAGAAATTCTGAAAATCTTTAAAAAATAAGTGAATTTCGTTCTTCCTGAACGTATGGAAATTCTCAAATTGTATAACACTGATAACAGATGATATTGACTGACTTTGCGCTCAAGTCGCCCATTAGATGTCGCGTAAAACAATTTTCTTTCATGCGTTCCATTTAACTTTTATCTCCCGCGATACGGAGAACGACTTAAAGGATTAAAATTTATGAATTCGACATTTATCGATTTTATTAGATTAAGTTACCTTTAAGCGCTCCATAGAACTCTCATGTTTTTCTTTTTCATTTATAAGAATGGAATTATATGTTCTTAACTGCAAGCGTACACCAGAAACGTGAACAACGATTTGAAATTGTTATTCGTAAAATTTTTCACTGCATGCTTAATCCACGAATTGTTATCAGTCCGTATTTTGTCTTTTAATTGCGCCGATTAATCTATGGACGTCCTTCTTTCGACATTGAAAAACATGTTTGTTCAACTTAATGAGAATAATGTAACAAGGAAAACAATTTTCTAAATAATGATGTTCTGTTATCAGCTGCCTAGTATCGGTTTACTTTGTTCTATGTTAATTACCTTTCTACAATCTCTCCAAAATGGATGACAATTTTTCATACGTCGCTAAAGGGATGAAAAATGAGAAAAGTACGTAACTAAAAAATATACCGTGGCTCGTACGCAAACATGTAGAATATTATACGTTAAAGTTTCATTATAAAATCGGTCTATCGTTTTAAATGATTATTTAATAGATATACAATAACGCAAACGTTTTTGTAATACTAATAATACCGAGAAGTGGATGGCTAATGTTGTTATCATCGGCATTAAATGTATCTTTTAAACCCGTGCGACGTGCGACATTCCAGCTAATGCGAGGATATAGCTATCTAAAATATCACGTATGAAAAATCAATGCGATCGTATCGTGCGATTGTATGAGAAAAAAAGAGAAAATTATAGACATGTCCTAAAATGGATAAGTATTAACGCGAATGATAATAATATCGTTCACTTTTATTTGTCGCGAAAGTATATGTATTGGACATTGTAAATATACTTATATTCTCGAGGTTGAAACTACCAGTGATAAGAATGCGTGATAATACCTGCGAAATTATTAACCTTCGCTAATAACTCGTCTTCGCGATGTGGATAAAAACTCGGAAAGCACGAAAGACTGTTCAGAATGTGACTGCGACTTGACAGAAATTTTCCTCAAGAGGCGACGAATTTTTATTCAAGTATGACCATTCAAAACGATCTCAGCGGTATTACAGCAAGAGGTATCTGAATTCGAGAATTACTTAGGAGTGTTTTTTATCGCACGATAATTTTTGTACTCGATAAATCTGTATTGCATCACAGCCACGTTTCGATTTATATCATAATATGTCTTAAACCTTCTTATGTTACAGCGGCGTTCCTGTTAATTTGTTGGTTCGCCGTAGCTTCCGCACAAACGCCTAATAGCAACCAATTATGCGACTATTTCCAGAATCTAGAGTTAAACAATACATATTATATTTACAATACCCAGTATCCAAATAGATATCGGGGCCGTCAATCGTGCACCTGGACCATGAAGAGCGACTACCGAGTGAACCTGACCTGCACGGTCGAGATGCCATGGGTACGACTCGAGCTTCCAGCGTCGAATAATCGATCGTCAAATAATTGCATACGAATGATCCTCGCAGAGTTCCAATTGCTCTCAAGACATGCTGACCGTCCAAATTAATCCTTCGACCACTAAACGGTATTGCGGTGACGGACCGTTTTCCGTACTCTCCGATTCGAACACTATGGTTGTCTCGTTGCAAACTCCGTTTTGGTCGACGGGTGGACGATTCCTCTGCCAGGCGCAAGCAGTTGAAAATCCCCGGGAGACTGAGAACTGCCGATGCGGTTGGAGAAATCCTGTACGTACGTCTTCGCGCGCAATCATTTTCCGTTATCATCTTAGTAAGTCATGTTTTGTTAACGTTTCTAGAGTAGAATCGTCGGCGGAACCGACGCGGGTGTAAACGAATTTCCTATGATGGCTGGTATCGTAGATTCTCTTGAAGCTGATATCTTTTGCGGCGCGACTATAATAGCAAAGAAATACGTGGTAACAGCTGGGCATTGTTTAGAAAACAGAGACACTAGCACACTGGCTATCGTAGTGGGCGAGCACGACGTGACCACGGGTAATTATTATCGAAAATAATTTCAATGTTCCATGGGCTGAAGCAATTTTTATATTTAGGAGCGGACACGAATGCCACGCAATTATTTAGGATTCGTAGAGTTATATTCCACCCTAATTACGTTACTGGTGGCCAACTAAACGACATTGCCGTTGTGGAAATACAAGGCGAAATAAACTATGGCGTCAAGGTTGGTCCAGTATGCTTACCTTTCCAACACTCTCAGGATAGTTTCGGTGGAGATCACGTTAATGTATTGGGTCAGTGGTATCCGAATTATTCTATCCTTAACCTAAGGGTTGCTGTTAGTAACATTGTTTGCGTTGGAATTAGGTTGGGGATTAACCGAATTCGGAGGACCGAAGGCTACCGTTTTACAAAAGGTTGTTCTAAGCGTAATCACCAATCTTATGTGCTCCAGATCTTACCCACAAATATCGACAGAACAATTGTGCACTTACGCCCCAGGGAAGGATTCGTGTCAGGTAAGAAAAATCACGAATGGTTCAATTTTCCACTGAGACGAATGTATTATCATCAGATGGACAGCGGCGGACCAGTTCTCTGGCAAAATCCTACTACCCAAAACTTAGTGCTGATCGCGGCTATCAGCAACGGTAGAGGTTGCGGAGAGGATGCCGGTGTAAATGAGAGAATTGGAGCACACATAGACTGGATCGTCTCTGTGACTCCAGGTACAACCTTTGGATCGGCGAATACAATATGCAAATTACACGGACTGCTACTTTAAACTGCTTGTTATTATCTTACTGTTTTAGACGCCACGTATTGCGCCGTCGAGTAAATCGATGCGGCTCATCGTCTTGACTCGATTCGACGTGATATAGATAGCGATTCGTATCGTCGCACTAGCTTCGCTGACCGAGCGCAACGCAATTCAGTTCAGCGAATTCTCCGTGTTCCACGTGTTCAGCTGTATTTTACATATCACATCACTCAAGTAATTAGTATAATGGCGTGGTACGGGACGATTAGGATATGCCAATCTATTACGCCGAATTTAGAGACAACACGAGCTCCGACTTCCATTAGACGTAAATGTATGGGTCTGTAAATATACTTATATACGTATTCGCATATGCATACGTGTTACATCTTACTACTCGGTTTCACCCCCTCCGACCTGTTACCTCCATCTTTCCATCTGTTTGGCTGCCCACGCTAATATTATTTGATGTTTACGTAAGAACAGCGCGACTCTGGAGCGTCTGTTTTTCGCAGAGCTCGCATCGATCGTAAAACTGATTCTGTTCATGTGAAACCTATTTTTATCGACGTGGATGAAATTATTTCCCGAGTCTCGGTTAGACGGCGAAACGCTAAGCAGGCAAAAATCGTGGAGCAGAGTTACGACACACGTGAAATACAAATGAGTAATACCCTCGGTCACGAAAGCCTACGAGGAGCATTCCGATCGCATGCGAATTTCGAAATCGTAAGCAGAAACGGTCCGCGTCGGTCGATGAATTTTCCTATCCTTCGGCCGCGGACAGATTACGCAACGAGCCTCCTCGTGGACGATAAGCTCGGCCACTAGAGAAAATTGAGGTAGGCGCTGGAAGAGTGCCACGCGACGGTCCTTCCTCTGCGAGCATTGGGTGGCAGCGTCACGCAGATGACTCGATATTAATCGCGCGTAAACAACAGCCTCGTTATGAATAAGTTCGTGAATGAGGATGTGACGCGAAACGATTTACGGGCAAATGCCTTCGCGGATACGTGGGAGCGGCTCTGTACGCGCGTCGAAGAAAAGTAGCCAGATTAGATTGATTTAAAAGCAGGTTCGACGCGAAATCGTTTTAGACGTCGTCTCTGCGGCAGGGTTTCTCCGTTCACTATAAATAGATGACAAGCAACGGGGAATTAATCGGCCGGACCGAACAGTAATTCGTGTCGCAATTACGTGCGATCGCGCAAAATCAGTCGTTATCGCAAATACCCCGGAGGCAGCGTATTTATTAAACAAATTGATTTCTTCGGACCGCTTGGGCCGGACCTTGACACGCTTATCGTCGATGATAGTTTTGATAAATGGACACCCTCGCCTATTGCACGACCTGCTCAATGCTGCTTGCAACTAAAATTTCCTGCCACTTTCTACGTACGCTTCGGTTCGCGGAGGTCAATGTCGAAAACGAGCGAAACATTTTTGCCAACGGGCGAATTCATACTACACAGCAGAATGAACTCGGACCGTGTGCCAAAAAGGTCAAGGCTTTCATTGATAATTGACCATATGGAGACCAATATTCAGTTCCGCCTTCCATTTCTATTTCTGTCCAGTATGATTTATCCATCGCACGGACACCTGACCTTAGCTAACAACCAGGAAGAACCTCGGGGGAGTCGGGTCTCGCGGGGCGAAGGTCAGTAGAAGCGCGAATCGGTCGATTGGAATCGGAAACGCGTCTCCCTAGCCGGAGGGATGAAACAAGTCGAATTCTATTTGCAAAGACGGGAGGAAAACCGAGGATCGGGGAGCAATCGAGGCGAACGAAAATGGCGGGGATTGGCTGCTCGTAAGATCGATGTGCGGCGAGACGCGCTCGCGCGCGCGCCAGACCGCTCCAGCACTCGTCACGGGGTACAGCGTCGACGTTGACCAGAAGCACAGAAAGGACAAGGGAAAGGGTGAATCGTCCTGAATACGTAGGGGATAGACTGTCCGAGGAACGGGTTCTCTCCCCTCTTCGTGGATCCTCGCCCGATTCGCTCATCCCCGGTAACTCGGCCAGTGGAATACTCGGCCGTTTCTGAACCGCGTCGAACAGTCTCGCTGAGGAGAGTCAACGGGTTGGACAGCAGAAGTGGAGTGTGTGCCACCGCGTATGCGCCATATGTACATAATTACTACGTCCAATCGGGGATTGAAAGCGGTGCAAAGCTTTGTCGTAGCGCCGAAGCTCCAGGGTCCGCTTCGTCCCGCTGTTGGTTCCATCGCGTGCGTGCGAGGAAGCGCGCGCGCGCGCACAACCGCGCGGCGGTGGTTCAGTTGGATATTGACTTTCGCATGCACGGGGCGCGTTGCCTAGAGTCTCTTCAGCCACTGCGATTCCTAGACGAGAGCATCGAGGAAAAGAATTTGCGCGCGGGTTGAACAACCACGACGACGACGACGCTCGCACACACGCTCGTTGGTCGCCAGGCGAAAAGCAGATAGAACCAGAAAAATAGCCGAAGGCCTCCCGAGGCCGGAGGAACGAAAAAACGAAATACGAGTCTGATCGAGGCGGGCCGGAGAAAAATAGCCGTGCGAGGAGGGATAGTCAGGAACCGAGCTACATGGCTCCGAAAATTATTCATTCTTTCCACCGTCCACGCGTCTGTTACCCAAGTCCCAACGAGCATCACCGGTTCTGTCGACCTGTAAGTTCGAAATAATTCCGTGAACGATTCGTGCAACCAGTTTCCGCGAAATTAGGAGCGAATCCAGTGGAGGTGGCCCTGTACGCGGCCCGGTGTGCCGTCCCCTTCGTCGCATCTTAAACGATATACGCTCGAGAGTACAGGGACGACAACGAGCGTGAAGAGAGAGAGAGAGAGAGAAAGAGAGAGAGAGAGAGAGACAGTGTGCGATAGAAAAGAGAAGCATGACCACCACGCGAACCGATTTATTAGATCGACGTTGATATTCTCCACGATTCGAGGACAAGCTCGGAGCTTATATGTCACACGAAAACGCAAGAACCAGCAACATCCACGGAAGACGAAAAAGGAGAAAATTTCGCGAGCGCCACACTGCAAGGAGCAGAGCGAGGTCCGTAGATCGGGGACGTGTTCTAACACGATAATAATCGTGACAGCGACGTGAAACGCGAGCTTCCTTTGATTCCTTCGAATCGCTAAAAGTGATCCGTTCGTAACCAGTTCTCTCGATGCTCCGTTCTCGTACGAGGCGCAAACCGATGTTCACGCTCGTACGAACGGAAGCCCTTTCAACGGTCGTGCACCACGCATCCTTCTCCGATCACCCCCTAGCCCCCTTCGTTTATTCTATTTCGCATCGTGACTCGCGTTCCTCGTGTCCGTCCCGATTTCGCAGTTGAACATCTCCACCGTCGAAAGAAGATAAGCACGAATCTGTGGAATCGTGGCGTGCGAATAATCGTAGGAGAGCGATCGCGTCGTCTCGCTCCCTCGACCCACCACGCCGTATCGATTATACTCGCCGCGCGCGAGCCAGATATTTGAATCGTCGATTCCCAGCCTTGCCAACGTGATTCGCGTACTTCTCACGTAATTCCGTTCGAAACCGTTCGAATAATCGTCGCGTTCTTCCCCCGTTTCCTCGTCCCGGAGACGGACGCAACCGCATTCCCCGCGTTAACACAATTTTTTAACCGATCGATGCTGAAGAACAACAAAAGTTTCTGCGACGCAAACCAGAACGAGGTGAAAAGGGAGAAGAAAAATACCATATTCCGCGTGTCTCTCCCTTCTGCCGTTCGCAGAAAAGAGCGTGCGTCCGCGTGGGAGCCGTTTCGAATAACAGGCGCACCAGGCATGCCTTCCGCGTTACGTTGAAGAATTTTTTTACCGCTCACAGAGAGAAAGAGAAGTAAACTTATCTGAGATATATTAACGAAAACTAAAGAAAGGAACACGGAGAGATATTCTTGTAATAAAACAGTAACGATTAAGATCCTTGTTGGGCCTTTAGTTGAACTGCCGGCGCCGTTCTCCTCATCGTCTTCGCAGTCGACGTTCGTTGACACACCGATCGTCAACGACGTCACCATTGTTGTTATTGTTACACTGTTGTTGCCGTCGATAGTAGTCCCCGCTGACGCTACCGTCGCCTCTTCTGTCAACGATCGCCGATCCTTCGACTTTTTTTACACACATCGATCTACTCTAATCCGCGCTGGTCCATCGAATCTCGAACGCGACCGAACAGCGACAGGAGACGATTACCGTCGTTCGCCGAGAACCTATCCGGGGATAGGGACAAAGTTTAAGGAGTATTCGTCGTTTGGAAACGAGAGACACCGAAGCGAAGGATGGTAGTGAAGAACGAAAACACGAGGAATGGGCATGAGCTGGCTCCGTTGAACGAGGAACGTCAGACAGGCCAGAACGTAACGATTGTGGTGACCGGAAGCCAAAATGCAGCTGCCGGTCAAGACACCAAGGAAGACAACAGAGCAGCATGGAGCGGCAAAATGCAATTTTTCCTCAGTATTATCGGTTACAGCGTGGGACTCGGGAATATATGGAGATTCCCTTACCTGTGCCAACAGAACGGAGGAGGTGAGTCGAACTTCGTTTCGTAATACGAATCATCGCCCCTTTTATACTTTTTCCTCTAACAATAGCATTCGAAGTGAAAACGAAATGAAACGAGAACTTTAAATCCGTTCTCCTTGAGAGCGGTCTTGGAAACGGAGGTTGAACTACACGCGCTGCCTGCACGAAACGTCACGTTATACGCTATTTTCGGTCACACTTCGTCCGCGCAACCACCTTCCCCTCCTTCGGATCTAACTGCTTAAAAATATATACGTATCACCCGAACGTTTCACGAAATACCGTTCCGACCGGGTCTAATCGGGAAAGATCTAGAAACGAAGGGAAACCCGGACGACAATCCTATAAAACTCGCCCTTGAACCCTCCGCGCGTCCATCTTTCCATCCGCGACCTATACCTCTTCTGACTGGCGTAACTCGATTACATTCCAATGCGAACGGAACGGAAATACACGTACCAGGGAAGGTGGGTGTCGTGCTGGTTCACGGACGGATGCGCGAGACCTCCGGGGGTGGCAGGGGTGAACCGAATGAAATGACGAGCGTAAGCGTTACGTCACCGGTTTACGCGACCCGTTCAAACCGAACGCCCACGCGAATTTTCGCCGCGGAAGTTTCCACCGGCCTCCAGTAGGTGCCAAGAACGAGCCGAGAGATATAGAGGGTTCCTATACTGCGCAGAATGGTAACAACGCGAGCTCCTTCGGCACTATTGGCTTGGACGCGTTTAACGATTCGCGGGGGTTCGATGTGCGCACGGTATAGGCACCCGCATGACGTTGCACCAAATTCGAGCCAGGACCCGTCCGACTTTCAATGGAAATTTCCTCGTGCTCGCGACACGACGCGCGTCGATCGATTTGCCATCCTATCGGCTGACGCGTAACAATTTCGTAGCTACAATGAGTTTACGTTCAACGATCGATCGAAATTAGATAAGGCAATCATCTCGATCTACTGAATGACCCTGTCGGCAAATACAAGGTAATAATCGTTACCGCAAGCATCTTGTTTTTGCTGACAGTCCTTTTCTAGGACTCGATGGTTCGAATTTCGAACCATCGAAGATGGTTCGAGGATGGATTCGGAAGGCGTTCATCGAATGACGGCTGGAAACAGCGTCTAATCGTAGCGTAGAATCAGATAGTTTTAATCGGACGATGAAGTCTAGAAATGGATGATCGGGCCTAGAATTCTTCGCGACTATCGCGGATGTCGCATACTTAAAACAAACCTTTTACGACGCGGACGCGTGTTACCGCGATAACGTCGTGTTGAACGTGACTGATTGGTCAGTAATTCTTCGCATAATGACGGTTACGAAATACTTTACGCCGGAACGAAAAGAGATGCCTACGTTAAAAAACATGTTTGTACAAGGTCGAACGTGTACCTACGTACGTACGTAAGTACGTACTACGTACGTGTCAGTCGATCAATACCAGGGCAGACACACTCCGGCCGCGGCTGTCTCAAACTAGAACCACCGCAAAAAAAAAAAAAGGGGAACGGAGCGTATTCTCTCGGCAGAGACGGGGCCCTCTTCAAATGGGAGAGATTAAAAGAGAATGGTTACGGCATTCATCCCGTAATAAGGGGTCAGAGGAACAAGAGAGAGGAGCGAGGAGCGGGGGCTAACGAACGATATTATTTTACCGGGGATAAAGAATAGGACGAACGCGGATCTCGCTTTAGGCAGCGAAAAAAGCATGTTACGCGCATGGCCCGTTCTTTTCAGGTGCCTTTCTCATCCCCTTTTTCGTGATGCTAATCCTCGAGGGAGTACCCCTCTTTTTGATCGAGCTGGGTCTCGGTCAACGGATGCGACAGGGTGCCTTGGGCGTATGGAACACCATACACCCGTGGCTAGGAGGCATAGGAATAGCGTCCTGTATCGTCACCTTCTTCGTCGCGCTTTACTACAACGTCATCATCACCTGGTGCTTCTTCTACCTGTTCAATTCGCTCGAGGTGAGCATCTCCGATATCATACATCGATTATTTAATCGTTCAAAGATCGTGTCGACGGTGCGTCGGATTAGCGTAAACCGCGGTGATCCCACAGGACCAAATTAACGATTGCGATTTATGTTTCATGCCGCTCGATTAGGCCGTCACAATTAACTTCGGCGTAAGTACAAATCGATTTCAATTCTTCCCTCGCCAGTCTACGAGGCGTGAATGCAAAACGGACAAAGTGGCACGCGTCGCGCATGATATCGAATCTAACTGTAAACGTTAGACGCTTTCTTAGCTTGTGTGATGCGGAGGACGTCGTCCCGAGGGTGGGTTTTCTCAAGTTGAACCGTTTAACGTGTAGGAACCGTTACCGTGGGCGAAATGTCCGGAGGTTGACGGGAAGCCGGTCGAGGAATGCGTGAAGAGTTCGGAAACTGCCTATTTTTGGTATAGAACTACGTTGGACGCCGCGCCGTCGATCGAGGAAGGTTCAAGCCTCAAGTGGTGGATCGTTCTGTGTCTGCTGCTCAGCTGGATCGTCGTCTTCTGTATCGTGATGAAGGGAATACAGTCATCCGGGAAGGTACGTAGCCAGCGATCGTTTCGATTCGTTTTTTAATTTCGACCCTTCGTACTTCCTGCTCCGTCTCCCACTTCCGAGTTAACACGAAGGTCAGACACACTGTTTCAACGACTTACGTTTTTTGCTTGATTTAAAGGTGGTATATTTTACATCCATGTTCCCGTATTTGGTGCTTACTATCTTTTTTATTCGTGGAATAACGTTAAAAGGTGCCGGCGCTGGATTAGCCCACATGTACACGCCAAAGGTACTTATCCTCTCCCATCAGTCGTTACAATTTTTAACCGGACCCAATGACAGCTTATTCCTATTCTAGATCGAGAAACTGTTAGAGCCGAGGGTCTGGCTCGACGCGGCGACGCAGGTTTTTTACAGTTTCGGGCTAGCGTTCGGGTCGTTGATCGCGTTTGGCTCTTACAATACGCCGAACAACAACTGCGTCCGGGACGTGATCCTCGTTAGCGGTTGTAACGCCTTCACCGCGATTTACGCGAGTGTCGTGATATTCGCCATTCTTGGCTTCAAGGCGATGACAAACGTCGATAAGTGCCTCGCGAGGTACTCTTCAGCTGACACCCGAAACATTTTAATATATGAATAAAAAAAAAAATAGTAATGGCCCTTTTTCGTTTTCTCCTGTTCCAGTAACAAAGACTTACTTTTCCAACACGGACTTATACCGCACGAGAACTTCACAATGGACGTGTACGAAAGCGTTGTAAATACGTTCAACACGTCCGCGTACAATTTTACGCTCGAAACGTGTAGCCTCAGCGAGCAATTGGACAACGTAAGCGGGAAATACACGTCGATCGTTTATCTTCTTATAAATTCTTATAGGAAATGTGAATAAATTGTTCAGGCCGCTGAAGGGACAGGACTGGCTTTCATAGTCTTCACGCAGGCGATAGTCGAGTTGCCAGGCGCCCCGTTCTGGTCTTGCATCTTCTTCCTCATGCTCCTAGCGCTCGGCCTCGGTTCCCAAATCGGCATTCTCGAAGGCATGCTGTGCGTCATCTTCGACATAGACTTGTTCAAGAGAATAAAAAAGCAGTACATGACCGGTACGTTCGAAATTCTCGATCGTCGATTTTTTCTTCGTGATAAAACATTTTACGAAGGTGTCGTTGATTCATTTCTCAGGTGTGGTTTGCACCATCTGTTTCTTCGTCGGCTTGATCTTCTGCACCGGTGCTGGAGAATATTGGCTGAAGATGTTCGACAGTTTTGCTGGTACCATCGGTCTCGTGATGGTCGCGCTCATGGAAATGCTCTCAGTCATCTTCGTTTACGGTCACGAGAAGTACGTCAGAATTATCAATTCTTCTATTCGATCCTCTATAATATTCGGTCTGTGATAATCCAAATAATTGTTCGCCAGGTTCACGAAAGACATCGAAGAGATGACCGGATACAGACCGGGACCGTACTGGCAGTTTACTTGGCGATTCCTCGCTCCCATAATCATGGTCTGCATTCTCCTATCCAGCATAGCGTCGATGTTCTTCAAGAAGCCTCAATATTCCGCATGGGACGCGACGCGGGTAAGACCGAATTTCGCATTTACCTTTTTTTCTTTTAATATGATTAGGTTTATGTGTTTGTCAAAAATCCTTTTCAGGGTATAACCGTGCCCACCGCATATCCCAGCTGGGTACTGGCCATAGCAGTCGTGATCATTTTCGCCGGCGTCGCACCGATACCCATTGTATTCCTCCTGAGACGATTCCAATGCGTCAAGCTGGATGTTGACATTCATCAAGGCAGTATACGACGTATCGAGACGACAGTATCTACCAAGGAGTTTATGACAGATGGCGATGTGAGTGCACTTGAAAATTTCTTTATTCCGCAAAGATTTTATTTCATCGACATTCATTGTGTCCCTATCTGTCACGCATCTTATCTTTTTCACCATTCACCTTGACACACGCATTGCATCTGTGTGCTTATCTCTTTCATATTTCCATAGCTTATCTAAGTTAACTTGAAGTTCACGATTATTTTTTTGATAAATCTATAATTTTATATTCCCTATCATTTCATTAAAAGATAATCTCTATACATATTTATCGATCGAATTGTATTAATTAATTAATTAATTATCACTGTCTGGCAAGAATGCGAACAATATTGATAAATCTACCAATGACTCTCAGTGATTTCAAGATAACTCAGCTTCCCGTACGTCTGCCAATAAAAATCGTAATCTTTCGATTTCAGTGTGAAATCTAAATCGATGAAGTTCAGATTATTCGAGACCAGGTCACCTTGGATATTCACGATTTATCTCTTTTTTCATTTCGATTTGTTCTTATCATCAATCTTCAATTATGGAACATTCGACGCATGTTCATACGATGCTCGTTTAGAGAAATAAAAGTAGAGACGTAGTCACCATGGTAAACGGTCGGCTTAATTGGCGCGCTAAGAGATCACGATTTAGGATGAAGGAGTTTTTAACTCGAGGCGCGTCGATTAAGCCTGGACGAGCATTAAGATTTACGTTGGACGTACCTGCAGTTATAGGGAAGCGTCCGTTCTGTGTGCGGTAACGTCGATTAATCGCTTCTTCCATAGCTACCACGTGAGTCCGTAGTACTTACAAAACTACCGTTTATGGAATGCTCTTTTAGCTTTGTCCTTACGCGCTTACCGCACTTTCGGAAGATGAATGATCTTCGACGAAGGATAAAGAGGAGACACGGAAAGCGGTACTTTCTTCGGCTTCGTCAATTTTACTTGAATGTTCTTTAGACACTCTCTGTCTTGTCTGCGAGAGAGGAAACATGAGTTCTGGCCATAATAATAAATATATAAAGGTTCATTAACACGTATCAGTGAAGTGCTTCTATAAATGTTGTACACAGTAAATAAACATCAACAACTGATGAGAATCTAGTCATTGATACGTGATATTGGAAAGCTTTTTAGCTTGATAAGTCACTAGCACCGCACTTTCACGAGCTATCTGGCTCACGATTTCAAAGGATCACGCCTTAGCTGCTATTGTTCGTTCACAAAGAGTCTAATCTCTGAATGAAGTATCACGTGCAATTAATAGAGATAACACCGAATTTCAGTTGGACGAGTATCACGATCGTCTGGAAGATTTCCCTGAGGAACCCGAGGACGTGAACAGCGACGACGACAACAATTGCGCGCCGCCCATCACGAAGATCGTCCCTAACAAGCTGCAGGGTAAATCGTTCAAAATGGAAGTGATGGACTTTTAATAAACGGTTTCGCAACTTACGAACGGAGCGGGGAGGACTGTATAACATTGAACATTCGTCTCTTTCGGTTCTCAGGAGACGCGTAAAACGATGCGAATTGTCGATCGGGACCGCGAACGGTCGGTGCTTTTCGGACAAGCAATACAGTTTTAATCTCTACGTCGGAGCTCGGACTCTCGGCGTGTAACAAAGCAAATACATATATAGTAAACGCAGAGGATGCGAAAATATACTCGGCGTTACGAACAAGCACCGTGACACAGGGAGGGACCGATTTTAATCGCATTCGAAATCGTTTCGTCGCGCCTCTGATTAACTTATTGATTCGTTCGCCCGATTTTAATCGCCCCTTATCATTTTCAACGGCCTGAATTTCATGGAATCTAATCAAATCGGCAAATTATTAGCGGTAAACGGATGACAAAAACGCAGATGTCCTATTAAAGATTAGATTCCCGAAGAGAAGTTGCGCTGATATTAATTAGAGTCCCTCGTTCGTGTATTTAGAAAGAGTGCCGTCTGCTTTTCAGTTCCGTACCCTCCGATTTTTCCGTACCGACGAACGACAGAGTCGTTTCAAACCAGATGTTCCGACGAAGGCTCGTTTAATTAGGAAGAATTCGTCTTTCCGTTCTCCATCGATTTCTAGACGATGCCTACGTTCCTACTGCTTCCAAACCTCAGGGCTGATATCACAGAAGGGGATGATCGAAAGAGATGGTCGCAAATGTCGAAACCTGACATAGGTATTTATATACACCTACTCGCCTGGATAGTGCGTACGGAGTAGGGAATAGTGTACATAGAGAGGACGGTATCTCTTCGTCGAGTTTCGTAAATACTTCCGACTCGCTAGGAACTCGATTACTTAAGACAAAGGTAGTTCGCGTTAAGTCGAAATTTGGAGCAGGATCGCAACAGTTTTCGGATCGTACTTAAAAGATGAAGAACCAAAGGAACGATGGTTCGAGGTCGAGTCTTCGTCGAAGTTGAACGAAGCCGATGCAGGACACGCGGTCGTTCTTCAAAGTAACTGGAAACGAGAGATCCAACTGCGTTCGATGTCTCTCGTTTTCAGAATTCACTCCGTTATCGATGGGAATATAAAAAGTTCTGCAAACGTAAGGGCGGTTATCTTCCCGTTGACACTGCGTACGTTCGTTGATAAGGTCAGTACCTGGCTCGAGAACATCGATCGCGATGCTGAACAGATAAAAATAAATGGAAGTTACCGATTATTATTATTCATCATCGCGTGGCGCCGGCGATGCTCGAATTGCTATATTTTGGCAGCGCGAGTGCTCAACGTCCGACCACCTCGGGAAATCGCGTACATCCCACCATCCCGTGTCGGGATTAATTTCTTTTCTCCGTTCTTCTCCCACTCTTATTCTCCGTTCCCCAATTTCACGCGTCGGAGCACGACCGCTGCTGCGTTCGTAGACATTTAAATATAGATCGTATATAGGGTATATTGTATACACAAGTATCCAAGACGTTTAAATAAAAGCTTATTTATTGCCGAGTACATAAGGTTGAGGAGGTCTGTGATTATCGACTTTTCCCACGCACTCGTTTCCCCGGCGCTTTCGATACCATTCTTACGACCCCTTTTTTCAATGTCACCGATGCCGCCGCCGCGCACGGTGAAATTGTTCCAACCACTATCGCTGCTGGGTTAATTGTCACGTGGTGCGCGCGACGCACGCGCTGCGCTATTGTCACGAATTAATACAAAATTATTTTCTTGTCCCTTGTGACTACGACCTGGGCCCAGGGATCTCGTAACTTTACGTGCAAGCGGAAAGTGGGGACGACGCGACCATGGTGGGGACCAATAGTTGGTGGGGGTATGCAGTGATTTTCACGGTAGCGCTGCGGAGAGCTTCGCGAACGCGCATGAGCACGCATGAGGGGAATAGTAGTGGGGATCGAAATACGGGCGAAAAACAGGGGAAGCGAGCCGTGTACGGAAGCATACGAGATCCCTGGTCCCAACCGAGGAACCCGCGTAATCGAAAGTTGACAGAACGGCGAAAAACGAGGAAAATAGAATAGTCGCTAAGTATACTAGAGACGGTATGTACGGCACCGAGTCTAGATAACAATCGGTGACTCAATTGTATTGAAACAATGATAATTTTTAGCAGCGTCGCAGAATGTGGCGCGAAGAGGATGACGAGGAGGACGAGGAAGAAGTATAATGAAAATCAAAACGTTGACGTAAGCGTACAGACAGGAACTTATCACGGTAGGTGACACATCGAAGATAACATGGACTATTCTTATAGTATGTGCGTATGCGATAATTTAAAAGATTTCAAGTGTGCCACGATAAATCAGTCGGTCACCGAAGGTAGACGCTGTAGCAGGTCGACAGTCCCGCCAACGATTTCGCAACGTTTCTCACGCGTAATTCCACGGTCTATTACGATATTTATTAGTCCTCATTTTGAAAACAATTGACCGACTAATTACGCCGAGCCAGCCAGCCAACCGGCTCGACCTGTTCCAATGGAAGAAACCGCGGATTTTCCTTGTGACGCGCGTAAACGTGTAGGTCAGTTACGACATGTGGAACAATCGACCGCGAACGGAACAGCAAATAAGTTTCTAGTCAACTATCAAAATAAATCGTACGACATACACGAGTTTCTGCGTTACCACCCTGGAGGCAAGAAAATATTGAACCATTATGAAAATCGAAGTCTGGACAAAGCGTTCGACGAGAATCCTCACTCAAAAGCGGCGTTACACCTGTTGCAGGAGTTCATGTCGGACAACGAAAAGAAATACCAGGAACACGAAGTGAGTTCTATCTGACGATTCTGTTTTCGAAATTATTGTTGTTCCATGAGGAAAGAAAAGAAATATTTATGGGGTGAGGACGGTTTCGCTTTATAGAAACTGATCGATTGGGACGCGCCTATACTGGGTCAAGTAGGCTCGTTAGGTGATAAGTACTGGGAGTGGGTCAATTTGCCGGTGAATCGACAGATTCGGCTGTTCAAATCAGACGTTTTAGAATTTATGACGATTACTCCTTGGTACTTGATACCGATTGTGTGGATTCCAATGTCTACCTACTTCATCTGTATAGGACTTACACGCATGAACACTAACACCGGTAATCATGTGTTCCTTTCCCAGTTCATGTTTTAATTATTAGTGACTATTGACGCATCAGCGACCGTGATAAGGAATTAGTAGAAACCTATTTCAAGTGTCTCCATTGAAACTTCTAGGAAACGCTTTGCTTGAAGTCTTACTATCGTACATTTCCGGTATATTGCTATGGAGTTTAATAGAATACGTACTTCACCGAGAAGTGTTTCACTTTAAACCACCAGCTGATTCAAAACTACTTATTACTTTACATTTCGTAATTCATGGTGTCCATCACAAGGTAAATTGAAGATAAGGAGATACAAGATACTCGTGAAAAATACTAATGCGCGTTTCAATAATTTCTTTTCCCAGGCGCCTTTCGACAATAGGAGACTGGTGTTCCCCCCGTTACCAGCTTTATTAATAGCAAAAGGAATATGGAGTGTTTACGAAGCAATATTTTCCGCAACGATGTTTCCTTTTGTGACAGTTGGTACATTATCAGGTACTGTCATCAATATATTATTTATATCTGATAATCACGAATACTGAAGATATATAAAACGTAAAAAAAAATTTGTCTCGCAGGCTACGTTTTCTACGACTTAATGCATTATTACTTACATCACGGCGCGCCGAAAGCCGGGACTTATATGTACAATTTGAAAAGGGTTCATAATTATCATCATTTTTCACATCACGACTTAGGTAAATTTTCTAAACCATTTCCCGTGACGTTAGATGAATTCAAAGAATGAATAAAAATAAATATTGCGCTTCTCAGGTTACGGAATCAGTAGTAAAGTGTGGGATTATGTGTTCGGAACGACTATTTGTTTGCGGCAACTGGCAAAGCCGATCGAATGGTAAAAAACGACTTATTAGAATAAACTTACGTACGCTTTATATAACAATTCTTTTCAACGAGCAAATAGTACAAATGACGTCAACTATATTTTACGATCGATCGTTCGATGGTAAAATCTATTTTAAGTACAAATGAGGAACAAAATGTACAAATACACTACAAAAAGTAATAATAAGAACAAACTAAAACACCTGTACAGATCGATGCTATAATCTTAAGTACGTATACCTTTAAATGTGTAATTATTTTTTTTATGAAGATAATTTGAGCATACCGGTGTCGATGGTTGCCCGGTGCAACGGTGAGACTGGTTGATAAAAGAATAAATTATAAATAAATATGTATAATTAAGACCCGTCGACTTTCACGTTTTTTCTACCCATGCTCAACTGCGGGAACGTGCTTTTATTCGTCGGAGGATTCAGTCTAGAGGACAGATAGACGAATGCTTCGAACAAACTTGACCTATCCATTACGTTCACTTCGTAATGTTTCAATTTCTCTCTAGTACACCAATTCGCAGCCTTGTTCGCCGTGTTCTCTAAACTGTGAGATTCCTCCTCGGTCCTCGCACGATTCCCGACTACGATTATACTTATTTCTTTCTTATCTTTGTTCCTGTCAATGTCCTTCTTCAACGGGAAGAGCACGTCTAAGGATTCAGGTTTGCCCGTATCGTAAACTAATACGTATCCATCGGCGAAACCGAGATAATGCCGTGGTAGTTGCTGATTATTCGCGTTACTCTGAAGGGATTCCAGCCCGGCAGTGTCGTAAAATCGCACTTTCTCCTTCGTGCCTCGATCCGTCTCTATGTTCGTCACATAAATGTCTTCGATCGTGGGATGAATTTCCTGTAAATTAACAAAATGCGTGTTAGAAATTCGTAAATCATAAGACCTCAGATTTTATGCGATTAGAAAAAAATTAAATAACGCAAAACAGTTCGAAGTATCAAAAGCTGAATAGAACGTTTAAATGATCGAACAAATATTTAATTTTGCACAAAGATTCGCGGTTTATGAATTTAAGTATAACCTAGATTCTTACTGTCTTGACATTGACATTCCCGTAAATGAGTTGTTCCAGCAACGCGGTCTTCCCGACTCCTTTCATTCCGCACACAACCACTTTCGTTGTTTTCCCCATGTTCCAATCTCCGATTTTCTTTCAATTTCACCCATTGAATGGGGACGCTGGTCGTGATCGCCAACTGTCAAGCCAGTCGCCCCCGCCGCTACCGCGGACGCTCTGACGGAAAGCGTAGGAGGATGTTTACACCATTATTTCCCCCAATTAAGTGTTTGTCGTGACTCAAAAAATTCATTTCATAGCAAGGAATCTGCTTACTTTATTCAATTATCTCTTAGTTACAAGTAAAATGCTTAACGGTAAGTGCTAAGAATTCGATTACAGTGGAATGAATGAAATAAAATATTACGCGCTATTCGTACAGCGTAAAAATAGATAGGAATCTATGAAATACATTTGTTATTAAAATGTTTCGTGGAATTATACAATCCTTTACATATTTATATGTATCTACAGATCTGCATAAGTCCTTATTTTCTAGATTTATGCATATAATAGATCGTCATGTCCTTGAATAAAAAATAATTTATACTTTTCAATTTTTCAACGTTTTGATTTTGTACTTTCTACTCCTCTTCTTCGGTAGTTAAGATTTTTTTCAATGATTCCTGGTACTCTCTGTACCAAAGATCTATACAGCTCGAATTAATTAAAAATCAATGGAAGACAGGCATCGTTCCAAGATGTCCGACTTCTTATTAAAAACAGACGAACCAAAGCGCATCTTTATCTCAGATTTGTTCAACACCACGTTGTTTACATCACGTGGAACATATTATATTTTATTTAGCTGTCTGTTTCGCGCGATCTTCAGGCTTCGTGTCATCGGCTAGGAGAGCGTTCAAGTCCACGTCTTGAAAGTTCACGGAATGCTGACTCGAGCCTGCGTGTGCGAGGAACAGATCTTTTAAGAATCCTAATTCCTTGGTAAGCATCTTAATCTTCTCCTCCAGTAACTCATTTTCCGTTTTTAATTGATTCACGCGTTCTAGCGTTTGCTGGGTACGCAATTTGCTCTTAACTCTCGAGCGTTTTACAGCCTGGAATAGACGTGGAATAGACGTTTAATATCGGATCCCTGACGAATTCGATGATCATTTCTATCTACCTGATTGTTCCTATCCCTACGTCTTCTGTAATCTTCGTCATCGTCTTCTTCGGACACTTGCTGTCTCTTTTTTTTATTTCCAGAGGAATTTTCTTTATTTTTTGGAGCCATCTGAAGTTGATTTAAATATGCGTCAGCCTTTTAACTATTTACTACTAAGTGTTTATTCTTTACGTGGTAATCGTAGTGTACTGTATTTACGTCACTACTATGAATTCGAGATTTAGCCAATGTTTGTGGAATACATAGTAAGTTCCAAACACTCAGCATGTCGTAAGCAGCACAGTTAAATATGTACTATGAAAGTTCTACACGTATTTATCTTCACTTACCTTTCACATTTTACGTAGATATTTATATGCTTGATTTCATGTCACTGTAAAAGTTTGCGAACTTACACTCCCTTCGCTATTTAGATATTTACCACGCGTATCACAGCGAGACTGGAAACACACTCCGATACGTCACGCGGATGATGCAATGCTATTTAAAATAACCCGAGTTCACAATGCGCAAGTGAAAATCCATCGCCCTCTATCGGCGCTCCTCGTGAAAAAAAACACATACACATTTTCCTTATCGATTACTCGTTTATTATTCACATTTGGGAGATCTGTTTCATACGAAAATTAAGTCTATTGTGTTATGTATTCAACGATTAAATGTTTAAAAAATAGGTAATGAATTACAAGTAGTTTTTGGAAATGTACCATGCATCTTATAAATAATTTATTCACTCTCGGAACCGCTTTCGCCGCTACCGCTACCCGATCCGCTGCCACTACCGCTCGACGGTGATCTCGATTTCGACCTAGATTTCGAGCTCGACCTGGATCTCGAAGGGGACTTCGATTTTGATCGAGACTTCGAACTTGATCTGGATCTTGAGGAAGACTTTGACCGGAATTTAGAGCTCGACGGTGTCGCGGACCGAGATTTAGCCGGAGATGCGGAACGAGATCTGGATGGTGATTTCGACCGCGATCTAGACTTGGACGAATTTCTAGACTGTGGGGTACCAGATCTCGATCGCGATTTACTGCGTGATCTAGCTGGGGACTGAGACTCGGAACGTGAACGAGAACCGGATCTTGATTTTGACGGAGACACCGAACGAGACTTCGATCTGGACGGTGACTTCGAACGAGAACGCGACTTCCTGCTCGACGCTCGGGACGATGCTCTAGACTCAGCCTCGTTTTCGGATCCTTCTGAAACCGAGATGATCATGACATCAATGAAGGTATGAGAGATGCGACCTCAAGTATTTTTATTACTAACCCCTTTCTTCTGGTTTCTCCATCTCTTGCTGAGGTTCCTCCTCCTCCTCCTCTTCTTCCTCTTCGTCTTCATCTTCTTCGCCCGGTGGTTCCAATTGCTTTTCCCTGTATCTCTGCATCTTGAATTCAGTGGCATTCAATGGTCTGTGCCTCACTATCAATCTAGTATTATTCGGTTGTTGGCCAGCCTTTTGACGACGTTTACTAAGACGTACTCGCGTCTCCAGCTCATTATAATACACCTGGAATATAAATAGTTAAAAGACATGCTTTATAATCTTTAGGTAATCATATATTAATATGGAACATACCCCTTCTTGTCTTATAACGAGGAAATAATTTTCTTCGTATCCCTTCGAAGCTTTACTCTTTACATTCCAATTATATTCTCTAGCCATTTTATATTCGTATTCCTCGTCGTCCGCGTAATCAATACCGGCTGTGAAATCTCTTCGACGTTTTTCTAACGTCTCCTCCAAGGGTAAGAAGTACGCCACGAATTGTTCACCGCTCTCGTCCATCACACCCCTAAAGCAATACCATTGTTAGAATATTCGATTAAGCACAATCAGATAAATAGAGATGAACGCGAAGCCTGAATTTACCGAATCATAGCTTGTGACATTTCCTCGATCTGAGCTGGCACAGAGCGTCCAGTCGGAGCCGGATCTGAATCGAATATGACTTGCGCACAAGGATATTTCCACAACTGAAAAAGAAAACAGGATTTAATAAAACGATTGGAATATTCATTGTAGCAAATGAATATACGACAATTACCTTGAAATCTGGAAATACCGGTAGAATTTCTACAGGTACCACATTCGGTTTACTGTAATGTCTTTCAATCGGCTTCTTATTGTCTTCGAACGTCTTTTCTATAGCTTTTATTTGACTCTCACGATCCATGTACAACGTTTCTTCCTGTAAATAATAACAATACTCAGAATATACGTAGAGAGATTACAATAGAAATAAAGAATGTTAATATTAGAACTAACTTTGAAATTCTTTTTGATGCTGTAACCGACTTTAGCCTCAACCTTATCCACAGTTTGTGGCTGAAACCTGGTTTGTTCGGTTGAGATGTATTCTGTCCTCCTAAGCCAAGACACGCTCCGGGCATGATGTCTAGATCTTTTGGAATCTTGAGGAGTGAGGACATCTTCTTCTAGAAGCTTCTCGTCAGCTGGATCCAATTGGGCATTAACGTCTCCAGCATAAGTGTCTTTATTTATAAGACCAATTTCTACACCTAAATCATGTTCTGTCAATACTTCGTATTTATAGTTCCGTTCTAATGATGTTGGATTATACTGAATGAATCTAAAACAAACATTATTTTATTAACTAACAGTAAAAATATCATAGGATAGTTCATAGTATGATAGTGGGAACTTACCGAGTAGACTCAAAAGGATATGTGATAAATTTAGGGTCGAATGGTATATCAGGCAAAGTATTGCAATATTTAACTCTACATATTAATTCGGATCTGAAACAAAAATAATATTAAATGCACAATGTTCGTTTTGTAAGAGTTATAGGTTATGGCAAAGTGTGTACCTTTTCTCTGCTGGTCGTGTCCCACGTTTATCCCGGTCACTTGTACTGCCGTTCGTTTGAATTGTAGGAGCCATTTCGCATTAATAAATTAAGCTTAACAATAGTTTTTACATTACAGAAAGTCAAAATATATTTAATGCAAACATAGTCACACGAACACCACACTAATTTACTCAGGAATAGCAGCGCTGCCGCTACGTAGTGACTCCACAGAGGGACTGGAAATACAACTGCATTTCGACCGGAAGTTGCGTATTCGAAGTGCGCAATCTCAGAAGTTCGAAAAATGCTTCAAATAAAAGTTGTAAGTCGTGACATTCTCTACAAGACAGATTCTATGCATTTTTTGCTTCTAACACCGGTATTTAACGAGTTACATATGATTATTTGGCATTTTATTGATGTTGACAAAATCCGACCATCCCAGCGTCGAAACAGCGAACTTTTGGCAAAAAATTTTGTTTTTCCTCAATAACTCCTAAACCGTTGGACTTACGAGAAAATTGCATAGGACCTTTCTTGTAGAGGACGACGAGATCTACAATTTCCATATAAGAATTCTTCACTATCGTTAATAGTTTACGTGTTATTGACGAAAAACGAAAAAACAGTTTTTTGCAAATTACTCGTAAACTATTGACGATAGCGAAGAATTTTTATATGGAAATTGTAGATCTCATCGTCCTCTACAAAAAAGGTCTGATGCAATTTTTCCGTATCTCCGACGGTTTGGGAGTTATGAGCAAAAAACGAAAATTTCGCGAAATCTGAAGGGGTACCCCTTGGAAAAATCTCGGAAAAATTGAAAAATTTTTTTTCCTCGTAATTTCGAAAAATGCTTCAAATAAAAGTTGTAGATACTGCTATTACCTGCAAAAAAGGTCGTATACAATTTTCCCGTAGGTCCAACGATTTGAAAAACGAATATTGGTGTTTTCATTTCATAATCCTTCACCAAATATGTATACATATGGTGTAACTCCCGAATTTTATTTTATTAGTATAGCAGGACGAGGAATTGTACATATGATATTCATATCCACGATATTGTACGCGGATATATAAATAAAAGCAATTTCTTTCTTCTAATAATCCATATTTCTTGATATTAGTCAGAGAAATACAATTTAAGAATAATTACTTTCATAATCCAAAAATATCTAAAATCCATCATTTTGGCAACATCGGTTATTCTACTGTTAATATTAAATGTAGCTCAGCACGAGACTATGTAAACTAGTTATTCATCGACGGTACAGCCACGTTAATACGTTGCGGTCGTTCTACATTCTACGTGCAGCAAAAGTGATCACGAATGGACAGGAACTAATTTCCTACTCCTACCGGGATCCTGCAGACACGCTAGCTGCCTGCTCGAAGGGACGCGATGTATGTAATGTTTCATCGTGGTAATGCTGAGAGGGAATAGAAGTTAAAACGAATGAGCCAGCACGCTGCTGACGAAATTAAAACTATGTTGCGCCCACGCGAATTTCGCTACAAATTAAGCAGTATCTCCACTATATGTATGATACCGTTAGACAGTTGTCGGATCCGACAGCTCGAACCGGGCTCTGGGGCCCGAACCGGGCAAATCCTGACTATTTTTCACGTTCCTCATGCATTTCGATTGTACATGAAATCGATCGTTAAATTATTTAAAAATTGATTGAGGGAAACCAACAATTCTTATGCAAAGCAGAACTTCTATAATATTAGTTTAAAAAAGAGAAATGCAGATAGAAGTTTATTTCTCAATCATCGTGATCAATCCTTTATTTTTTTGATATTCTACATACTTTCATTGATATTATTTTCTATAAATACACAGAACCTTTAACGATTAATTATTGCTGTCATTTCGTGCAGTTTTATTTCTTGATGAAATAGTTGTGAAACGTAAAACCTAGTGCGTGAGTCGTGGATTTATCTATGTTTTAGAGATGATAAAATTGATAGAAACGTTCGCGACGTACAAGGGAAACAGAAAAACACGTGGTTCAAATGGAATTATTTATGGCGTCAGTTTATCACACGATAAAGTTTCATCGTTCACGTGTATCCCAGAAATAAACATGTTGCATGTTCCCGTTTTTTCTATTATGCATGCTATAAATCGGAGTGCAAAGGAGGTCTAGATACTCACTCCGGACTCTCATTTTAAATGGTCGTATTCCATGGTATGCGTTGTCGATGAAAAGAAAGGAGATGGGCGTCCGAGGGAAATAAAAAAGAAGGAATAGTATTTGATTTTATTTCGCCTGTAGATCCTTTCGTTCTATCGAGATTACTTTACATTTACAACTCCCAGTTGCTCACTATTACGACAAACATAAAAACCTTAGAGCCTTAAAAAATGCAAGGAGTGACTGAACGAATCATTGAAACTAAATTTAAAATCAATTAAAATACAGCCGTGCAATTTCTTTGCAAAATGAACATTTTACCAAAACATTATGCTAATATTAATTGTATTTGATACAATGATTGTAAAAGTTATATAGCAATTTGTAGCGTAATGAGTAAGCTTAGATGTTCTGCTCAAATATTAGACCACTTAATTACTATTTGAATATTGAACGAGTAAATGTATATATAGTATCTAAATGAATCCAAGCTTGGGCAGTAGCAAATGTCCTTCGGATTGCAGTTACGTTGGTCTTATCATTTCAAGTTCTGTATAATGGAAGACGTATGCGATGTGTTTGCTAAATAAAAACCTAACGTGACGACAATCACTAACAGTGATCGAAGCGATCGGATGTGAAAGGAAGTGAAAGGTAAGGAAGTGGAAAGAAAGAAATGTGTATATAGGTGACAAGAATTGCGCCACTGTGTCAGGCGTAATGCAATTCAATCTGTACCCTGCACATGCTCGTGAATGGGTGGAAAAAGCTCCGTTGTCAAAGACCACGCGAGCTGATAAGACATTGTGGCGGTTTTCTACTGGTGAATGTAATTAAACGGCAGAAATGGATTTATTGAATGGCTTTGACACCAATTAGAATTCTGAAAGGACAGAGGGACGCGATATAGCGAGGTCATAAAGACAGCGTGGGTGACGGGTGCACGTTTTAGAAATTCGATTTCGAGCCGCACGCCGAGATTGTGTCTCTCACCCCATACTGTACCTTGTTAGTCCCTGGCTTTTTCGCCCTTCTGTTTCCAGAACAAGGGATACGTTGAAGTGCTGAATGAAGGTTCAAGCTCTCTCCTGTAATTGCTTTTGGGTTCTTTGTTTGAATACATCCGCGAGTCCTTTCATCTGAAGCTAGCATGTATTTTTCCTTTATTCGAATTTTCTTTTTACATTGTAAAAGACTAAAAGCACGCGACAAAAGGAAGCCCGGTGAAAATTACCGCTCGAGGTATTTCGAAACCGTGAAAATAAGATTTTCCAAATATTTTCCAAAACTCTATGATCAAATGACAGGGGTCGAAGGACAATGCTTCAAAGGCTATCAGAGGACATTTACATGCGGCGTACGAGAATTAAATGAAATTCCATAGCATTCTTTGTAAGAATTGTCTTCAATTCTGAATGACAGAAAAATCGAAAAAAGAGAATTGTGGTAAAATAAGGGAATAAAATGAAATAGAAATCTGCACGTGGACATTAAATTGATAACAATTACAAGCTGTTTTTTTATAAACGATTTATTTAAAATATTACTTTACCTTATCAGCCAGTCTTCCTTTGTACCATTATCAAATTTACATAATAACACAGGAAACATATTTTCATTGAAAAACCATTTTATTTTTATTATATAAGAAAGAAGTTTATATTTTTCACAAGTTTTATAACAAACTTATTATATACATACATATGTACATATGATTATTGCGTCCTGAGCTTTCGTTGTGTAATTCTGTATTCTAATGACAAGAACAGGAAATGAAATCTCTCGTTGGCAAAGTACATAGAAAATCGATCACGTGGGAGCAACCGATGAAAACTGGCGCAACGAAATGTGAAATTGAAAACAAAAAAGCTTGAATATTCTCCGACGTATGCGTATGAATGTAACACACGCGACCGGTGGTTCTCCAGAGACACTAATTTGTAATACATACGACACGGACACTCTTCAACTCCTGATTACAGACTCACGACAAATTGCCTTGATGCATGTCAGAGCGTCACGTCGACAGAAACTCACTCGTGCGGACGTCTAGATTTGGAGCGTATTGTCCTGTTTGCAGTATCCTTTGTACCTTTGCCTGAGTGTAAATGTAGCTACGGTCCTTTGAAATCGCGTGTCCAGTCGGGTTCCTTGATCAAAGTTGACAAAGTTACCAAGCATTCCTTTTGCAGTACTTCGAGAACTTGAGCACGCGGCATGAAACAGAAATTATGCGGCATGAAACAATTTAGATAAGAAAAGCTTCGGCCGTCTGTCTGAAAACGAGATTAAATCGCCTAACTAATTAACGGCTAACTATTAAATATATTATTGTGAATTATTTCCGTATGGTTAATCAGCGAAGATATTCAGTATGAGTACCGGTCGAATTTCGTCTTGTTGCTTTTTATACAAATGCGCGGTTGCAGTCCAATGAGGAACGAACATCTTTCTCCCCTACAGGTCCCATAAATTTCCACAAGAAATTTTATCGTAGACAAAGCGACGCGCCACTTCTCGACACCAAGGAACTTTTCAGCTGGCAAAAAAGATGAGATACGCGAGCGGTCAACGTTTGTGAGGAAAAAATTGTTGGCTGTAGGAAAAGAGACTGAAAGCTCGGTGAAAAAAGCTTCTGCTGTTATACAGTTTCTTCCGCTGATGTCCATCAACGTTCAGTAGTTTCTCGTTTTCTCTTATCTTCTTTTTTGTCACACATGAAGTATGATTGTAGTAGTGTACGTATTTGTTACAATAGCGAAGAATGTGTGAATGTATGCAATTTAAACTTGAATCGTCTTACCGAAATGTTCTTAAACTTTATTTAGACTTGAGTAGAAAGGTGAATACTATCAGATTATATGAGATTCATAGAGATACCGAAGGTAGCGCGTTAGTAAATGATGAATAATTGCGCAACCATCTCGTTGCAACAATATTGCAATAACGTTCATTGTAGTTGAACAGCAATTTCCGTTTCGCGTCGTTTGTTATGCAATGCGAGCTGCCTAACGCAATATATGTATGTATTCATTTGTGCAATAATAATTGCTCGAAGCGTCAACGACGTGTTTAGGGTAGGACGAATTTAGAATTCCATCC